TGTTTGTGAATTCTGCTATAGCTGTGGCTTTTCAGCACTGTTGCTGTAAGGTACCGATTATTGCTTAAAGCTCACAGGCTGGGGTGAATGATTAGCAGCTAATACAGTCTAATAGGACCAAACCGTTTCTCTTAATGTCCACATCTGGTGAGGACATCAATACCCAAAATATAATAGTCATTCCTCACTAGATCCTGTCCCATTTAACTTCCATTATGCGCTACAGCCAGCGCTGCTCTGCGCAATGTCACGGTCTTGGTCCTTCGCTACACACATCTTTCTTCATAGCATAGAGCAACAATGTGGCCACTGTAACATTATGGCTTGATATAGGCGACGAACAGACAGATTTTTCCGGAGAGATACTCATTTTTCAGCCCAAATATTGGACAGGAAAGAATGACAGACCAGTTCACAGTTTATTGTAGCAAGCAAAATATGTGCTGCGGTAGCAACTTTGACAGTCAGACTACATAAGTAAATGACAACTCTGATTTAAAAGCGATGAACTTTTCTAAACGTCTGTTTCTTTTGTTTGTTTTCAAGAACTAATTCTCGTTGATCGGCCGGTCGCAAAACATTTCCAGCCCTACCTTCTGATGATATGCGCTTCCGCTTGTTTACGATCACTACGTAAATACGTTTATCCTGTAGGCGTTATGAGCTAGTTTTACTTGTAGGTAGCGTCTTTATCCTGTCCTATTTATGGGGCAGACGAACCCGGTCGTTTCTACAAGCGTATCACATTTACGATCATCTTCATAGACGCGCCGATCCTTTTTATCGACGCGCGTCCGCTTGCTTCCGTATGATCCTTGCGGACTGTTAGAAAGACACCGGACATCGAAATCAAACATTACCAAAGTTTCGATGAACAAATAGGACGAAAAGTGATCTTCATAATGTCATCTTCTAGTAGTTCCTTGAAAACAACGGTGGCGGCGTAATTGTTCAGTTGTAAAATTCAGGAGGGAGCAGATTTCTTAAACGTTTCTTGCAGATCATGTTAATGAATCAACTTTTTAAAATATAATGCAGCATAACAGTAAATATGGTTACCACCGTCACTAAATAAGTGGTAATATTCGTAAAATGAATTTTTCAATACTTTGGTCATTTGAAAATCTTTCAGGGCTGCCGAATTTTAGAGAAGGATCGTCATTGTTTTTCAGGCACATGCATTGAAAAATGGCTGCATATTCTTTTTCAAGGTTTTTATGCCTTTGTTTGAAAGGTTTGTAATTTTTTGTGGTTTTTTAGGAACGGATCAAAATTCGATTCTCGGTTTGATTTTGGAAGCCGTGGGGGAATGCGGTAAAAAGGTTTGCCTTAGGTCTCATGCGGAATCACGTCATATGCATTTAGATTTTATTATAGTTGAAAGAATGTCTTGACATTGAAAATGTGTTGAACAAATGCTTGCTTTTGTTTCCATCGCAGAGGTAAGAAAGTTATTCAGGGCCATCGTCATTCGTTTGTTTTTAAGTAACGTTTTCGTACTGACAGTTATTGATGTTAAATCAATAGTTAGAACAAACATATGTTTCTAGTTACTCATTACACGATAACTCTATGGTTCTACTGAGCATCACTAGAGGAAATGAACTGTTTCAAGTATCTTGAAACGGTGGCGACCAGCATTGAAGGCAGTGATCTTGAAGTGAATCAGTACTTTAAAATGGCATAAGCAAATTTCTTGAGCATGCTATAAATATGAAAGACCAGACTGTAAAAACGGACACATTTGATCTTCCTGAAGGTACGGTTTTCGCATAGCTCACTAGACCCTTTTGTTGTTGCCTTTCTTTTCACATTGTGCTATTCTGAAACACAACTTGTCTCGTATCAGTAGCTTCCAACAGTGTTGTATAAAAATCCTTTTGAATTGTGATGATAATATCGAGCGTTGAATTAACGGATGACAGTCTTATGAAACTGTGAAATATACTGAGAAACCGGTAATGGTTTCATGAAATGACCTAAAGACGAATTGAAATCTGTTTACATTTCACGTATGGAATCATTCGTTTGCCACAGACAGATTAGAGAGTTGCGTAAGACTCGGATATGCCTCTTTGAAGCGGACCTTTTTGCAGTTAGGATTATCACCTTTGCTGAAGTAGAGGCTACTAATTAATGTGGATCTGAGACACCGTTTCAAACTGTCAGACATCAGAAATATGTGCTACGATGTTGTTGCAGCTTTGTTGGTTACCCGGAGATGACGATGGTAACATTAGCAACTAGCAGTATTACGGCGTCTATACAAATTAATCCTGTTCACATAAAAATGAGCTGAAAAGAATTTTTGTTTAGCGGCATTACGGTTCATTAAAGTTTTGGTCTTTATATCTCAACCAACGTATCAACTGGCAATCATCCAAAATAACAACTCCTTAAAACTGAGGTAAATGAGCAATGCGATGCACAGTAGTGAATTGATGTTAACATGTTAGCTTTATCTTTTAAAAATTTTGAATTCTAAGATATTGATTGATTCTTTTTTTTCCTAGACTTTCGTGCAGTGATCTGCTGGAACTGGAGGTGTTCAAACAGTGCATTAAAGTAACGAAATTTTTAAGTTTTGATTAATTATTTTTACATAATGGAAACTTGATATCCTCTGAGTGTAGACGAACACGATGGATGCGTGCTACTCTTTCAAATGTTTTCCAAAAGGTCACCATTTAAATTTCTGACATTCTATATAACAAATTCAGGGAGTTGCATGAGTGAGATATTAAGTATCGATCATCTTCGCGCTTGTACTTATGCCACCGTTCATTGCTTATGATATGACGGTTATCTCTGTTTCGTTCTCATCAGCCAATGTTGTTTCATTTACGAAAATAATATTCGTATGTGGCCAGCGCAGTACTCTGTTTCCAATTCTCTCCCCGTAAAATAGCTATCATACAATACGTGCAGCACAGAGGGGCAAATTACCATATATTGATTGACGTCTATTATTCGCTTTGGCTGTTCGTATGTTTTCCAAGTTTGATCCATAATTCCATCGCGAAAGTTCGAAATAACTTGTTGCTGCAGTACTCATTAGAATTTTTAGTGCAAATTTTACATTATGGAGTATTCAAAGCACAGATTTATAAAGTTTATTGTTGGCGGGCATGCCAATCTTTTTTCAAGCTGTTTGAAACAATCCCATTTAGTGCTGCATATTTATTTATTTTAAAAGAGTGAAGTCTAGTATCCCAGCTGTGATTCGAATCCGCAATATCCTGTTTGCCAGTTTGACGTTCTACGGACTGAACTACCCTGACCTAATCTTCAAGTGACCAATTTGCGTTCATGAGATTGTAAGTTTGCATGTTAACTAGTGACTTGTATGTTACTATGAGTGTTTATTTGTCATTATTACCTACAGACCGGGGAATAATCGTTTGGAGTAAATGCTAGACATGTGTTGATAGGTTGAATCCGAATTTCACGACTCTCAGTGGCATTCTCTGATATAGGAGACGGATTTCGTGGTTAAAATCGTTTAGTCTTCTGTCGACCTCAGGAATTTTAAGCGATCGGCGCATCTGCAATTAATAATGGCAGTTACATCACATGACTATCTATTACCATGCAGTATTTTGTAAGGCCATGCCGCGATACGATTTAATATATGTTAAATCAGTATCAAAGTACAACAAAAACTTTATCGAAAATTTGTTGATCCTCTGACATGTTCTTTAGAATTACGTTCTAATATTTATAGGTCATAGACTCACTCAGAAAGTCCGAGTTTTTAAGCTCTTTGATGTTACAACTAGCCTTCATATCAGTTTACGCTGGCGATCATCGCGGCTATACGGTGAGCTGAAATGACATCACTTGCAAGGCACTGACACTTCAGTGACATGTTTCCAGAAGAAAGAATGTAAAGTACAAATCTGAAGGTCATTTTAGCATTGGTCATTCAAACGGTGTGTAATGTTAAGTAAATTGCTGTTTTTATTGTACTCGAGCTACCTCAACAATTAACATATTGTGCGATCCATCTTTCTTCTCGGTAATTTTTTCCGTTATAAGCATCCTGGTTGATAAGTGGGAAAGAACTTAGCTCTGAACTCCGCTTTGAGGGATAAGACTGAAGACACCCATTAGAGAAATAAATAATTGTTGACTCAATGTAAAGTTCATTATATGATGGCCAAAGTTTATCTTTCAGCGACCATGGCAATGCAAACTCAGCCGTGTGTTTCTACGGCGCGTCACTGACAACCCGCCGATACCCACTGATTATGGTATAGTCTAGTATATTATGTTCTTTGGTCAACAGTTGCGTGCTGTGCAGATATCAGTACCTTAAATTGTCCACTGTCGTCGAGGCCAATTGAAGAAGTGTTCTTTTTATGGAAGCTTCTTGGCGGAACTCCAGAATCTCATTTGGAGAAGTGCGGTTTAACAAGACTTCGTCAGTCGGTGCTTGCTGTTCCTAGGTAGATGTGGTATTTTTGAAGAATGCGTGATTTGTTATATTGTTTTAAATTTTGTTGTACTGGCTATCAAGATGTTTTTTAAAATTATTCCTATGACATCTTATGCCGCATACTTTTCTTAGTTTCCTGTCCGAAGAAACCGATATTTTTGGCCGTTGTAGCGATGCGTACCTGCCTAAGCTGAAAATCGAGCCCCTTAAAATGTCAAATCTCCTCAAGGTAATGTTTGTTGTGTTGTCTTTTTTTGACTATTCTTTTAGAAAATGCAATCCATAAACAAGTTAATATTTTTCGTCTGTATGGAATCCAGGTAGCGTTTCAATTTCAGATTGCATCTGTTTATGGCCTTGTCGTCTTTTTTAGTGTTCTGGATGACGTCTACCGAAGTTTTGTGACTTTAAAGAATGATACTTCAGTCGTGGTTAAGGAAAAGGATGTCCTTTATCAAGTAAGATTATTTGCCATAACTCCGCCATGGCCGGTCCCAAGCCCCGATGAGAAAGGAGGAGAGTTGGAGACCGTGGCAAGTCTCCGTAAAGTTCAGCCACCTGCCACTCATGGTATTGACGCCTTCGAAAAT